GCTCCAGCTGGGCTGGAACTCACTATGTAGACCAGGCTGGCCTTGAACTCACAGAGATCTGCCTGACTCTGCCTCCTGAGTGCTGGGATTAAAGGTGAGTGCCACCTTGTTTTCCTTTTGTGTTCCTGGCCCTCCGCTGCATTAGGGAGCTTCATTAATGAAGCTGAGAGATTCATTAGTGTCTTCTTCTTTACCCCTGTTCTATGTTCCATGAGGAACACAAAAGGTCACAAATGGCCAAAATGTAGAGACTAAGAGTCTGCTGAATGCTGGTCCTTGGACAGGACTCCTTTGTTAAACTTCACCTACCCAAGGCTCAGGAACCATCACAAAAGAGGAGGCAGAAAGAGCCAGGGAGGAGGCACATGACCATATGGAAACAGAGTCCTACAAGCTCCTGGGACCCTGCTCATATGATTCCATGGCAATGGTGTCAGTACATACACGTCCCATGCAAACTCACGCAGACAAAAACACAGCACAGAATTGGGAAAATAAACAGCAGACCCCAATCTTATCTGAAGAAATATTGGCAACTGATTTTGCTAGGTGAAGAAGAGCTGATCTTCCTAAAACAAGGGACTCTGAATAGGCTGACTAGACCTTAGTGGATGGACTTGCACTGAGGAACGTCTGGGAACACTGACTTGACACAGTGGGCCTTAACAGGGATGACCAAGCATATGGGCTCCAGTGGGGGGGAGCTATGGGAGGGTGTCAGTGGGGACAGGAGTATAAAGATGACTAAGATTGTTTGAGATGTTCTGTTCGAAATACACAAAAATTCAATAAAAACAAATTTAAAACAATGTTTTCTGTTTTGTTTTATATGTATGAGTATTTTACTAAGTGTACCATTGTGTACAATTGCCAGGGAGGCCAGAAGAAGGCATTGGATCTCCTGGAACTGGAGTTACAGATAGTTGCTAACTGCCATGAGTGCTAGGAACTGGACCCCGGTTCTCTGCAAAAGCAGCCAGTCTCTCCAACAGATATAGTAAAAAATTCTTAAGAACTGCAGCCTGAGGGAGAAATGGGTAGTGGTAGTAGAGGTGCTATGGCTTTGGATCTGGACCCTGAAAATGCTTGGCCATCAATGTAGCAGTGTTCTGGGAAGTTACTGATTATGAAGGTCCTGGCCTCTTCAATGGATTAATCCAATGATAGGTTCTTAATTTCAGGGCTATTGAAAGGTGCTGGAAACTTAGGAGGTAGAAACTAGTTGAAGGGAATGGGTTCTTTGGGATGTACCCTTGGATACCATGTCATAGCTCCAACCACTTTAAAAAAGAAAAAAACGTTTTCTTCCCTTTTAAAAATATTTTATGTATTTTTATTTGATTGTATGTGTTTTTGTCAGCATGCCTGGTGCCCACAGAAATCAGAGAGGCATCAAATCCCCTGGAAATGGAGTAGAGAATAGGAGTTAGCCACCACGTGGATGCTGGGACGCAAATCCAGGTCTCCTGGAAGAGGAGCACTGCTCTTAACCACTGAGCCAGCTCTCCTGCCCCTACATTTCTTTATTTATTCATTTGTGTGTGTGGTATATGAATGTGCTCACATGTATGTGCAGGTACATGTGTGTGTCCTTGTAGAGGCCAGAGGTCAATACTGAATGTCTAACACTTTCCAACTCTCTAAAAATTTTATTTATTTATTTATTTATTTATTTATTTATTTATTCATTCATTCATTCATTTATTTATCGGAGGATTAAACTCAAGTCACCAGGCTTGCTGGAAAGTACCTTTATCTGTTGAGCCACCTCACTGGCCTCCACATTTTTTGAAACAGTGCCTGTTGCTGAAACTGGAGCTCAACTGATTAACTACTGAAGCTGACCAGTAAGCCCTAGGGATACTCCTATCCTACACTACCCCCTACCCCCTATTACCCCGTTCTCTAGTACTGGGATTATAGGCATGTATGACCATACTCAGCTTTTTATGTGGGTGCTGAGAATCTGAACTCAGGTCCTCAAGCTTGCTCAGCAAGCACTTTACCAATAGCTCCTAAACACTTCTTTCTTTCTCTGTCTCTGGTCTGCCATGAGCCACTGTGGTCCACTTCATGCTCCTGACCATCATGTTCTGTCTCACCATGAGCCAAGCAACAATGGACTGCTGAAACTGGGAGGCTAAATAAATCTTTTCTTCTTTAAAAATATCTTTCTCAGGGGCTGGAGAGATGGCTCAGTGGTTAAGAACACTGGCTGTTCTTGCAGAAGACCGGGTTCGAATCCCAGCACCTACATGGCAGTTAACAACTGTCTGTAACTCCAGTCCCAGGGGATCCGACAGCCTCTTCTGACCTCCGCAGGCACTGCATGACACGGGTGCACTTACCTACATGCAGGTAATACACACATACGCATTGAAAAAAAAAAAATCTTTCTAAGGTATTTTGTCATGGTGACTTTCAGAAAGCCGACTAATGCCAAGTATGGTGGTGCACACCTTTAGTCCCAGCACTCTGAGGCAGCAGCAGTCAGATCTCTGTGAGATCAAAGTCAGCCTGTTTTACATAGTGAGTTCCAGATCAGCTGGGATTACAAGGAGACCCTGTCTCAAAAGATTAAAAAAAAAAAAAAAAAAATGCTGACTAACATATAGGGTGCATGCCTAGCATGAATGTGTGCTAGTGCCAATCTCCAGTAAGGCAAGGGTGGGCGGAAGCTACAGCTCCACCTCCCCAGACACTGTCATTCCACCACCTCAGTAGTCTTTCTCTATGGGTCTTTCTTTTTGTTACACAAAACAAAACAAAAATCAAAAGGGATTTGTTTTTTAATTGCTCTGTCTACTTTGAATTGTTTTATTAAAGTGCTGTTGTCTTAAGTTTTATAACTAGGCCATTACTTGAGACTTCTTAAACAGAACTGTTTGATTTTAAAAATATTTCCTTATAAACATTTTAAAAGTAAAAGGTTTAAATGTGTAATATATATTTAAATATATGCAGCATGTACATTTCTGTTATAACTTAAATATTTAAAATTATTTGGCAGATAAATGAAAGTCACAGGCTTCTTTCCACCTTCCCCCTAATATCGCCAAATGGCTGTGCCATTTCTCATAGCTAGATACAATTTAGTAACACAGTGAGAGTTAAGACTATTTTAGGAACAAAGAGGCTTATCTACTAACACATGAAATCGCTCATTTCAACAGAACACTGCAGTAATGAAGTGCTCATCATTTTACCTGACCCTTAGAACAATATTTTGGGTGGGAGACAGAACCTTATTTTATTTAAGGGTGGAAACTGAAGTTTAGAAAGTTAAAAGGTTCTCCCAAAGTCATGACTAAAGGGTAGAACCAAGACTTGAAGCTAAAATCTTCAGTTTACTTTCTGTTTCATTCACTTTAATATTTAAAGAATCTTGGGGTAAAAATTACAGTTTTACCAGTTTCAAACTGTATATATCCTTGTATTCTTTAATTCTCTTTTTGTTTTCACCTTTTTCCCCTTGTTCTTCTTTTCATGTGTTTGGGTGTATGGAGTTAGTCCCAAGGCTGATGTCAGCAATCTTCCTTGATGGCTCTTCCAACTTACTCTTTCTGAGGTGGGGTTTCTAGCAGATATGGCTAGTCTCCCTAACCAGCTTGCCCTGGGGAGCCTGCCTCTGCCTTCTGAGACTGGAATTATAGAGGCCCCTCCAAGTCCCTGAAGTATTTACCTGGGTTCTAGGGATCTGAACTCTGGTCCTCTTGCTTGCAAGCAAGCACTTTAACCACTGAATTATCTTCCCAGACCATTTTTGTTTTGTTCATCATTTCCATATTAGAATCTGAAACTGAATAGTAAATTCCTTTTTTGCTGTTGTTGTTGGTTTTGAGACAGGGTCTCTCTGTAGCTCCAGCTGGCCTATTATATAGACCAGGCTGGCCTCAATCTCACAGAGATCCTCCTGCCTCTCTGCTTCCTGAGTGCTGGGATTCAAGGTGTGTGCCAAGACACTTAACTTCCTTTTGTTTTTTAAAAAATATTTTTATTATTTTTATTTTGCATGTATGCATGTACTGCCTGCATGTAGGTAAGTGCACAGTGTTGTGCAATGCCCGTGGAGGACAGAAGACTCTGTCAGATCCCCTGGAACTGGAGTTACGGACAGTTGTTAGCTGCCACGTGGGTGCTGGGATTTGAATCTAGGTCTTCTGCAAGAACAGTCAGTGTTCTTAACCGCTAAGCCATCTCTCTAGCCTCTCCTTTTGTTCTTAAGATGGCAAAACCACTTATACCAATTAGTTTCTAAGAATGGGTATACCTATATTTCATAGATTCTGGTATATAGTACAATTGCTGAAGACTAACGTATTTTAACACTGTCAGAAATACTGTATTTTAGAATTAAAATATTTTAAGAGTGTTTAGATGTTAAATTGTTGTGATTTTGAGTAAAGAAAATATTAATTCAAAGCCAGGTATGGTGGTACATGCTTATAATCCCAGCACTCAGGAGACTGAAACAGGAGACTATGAGTTTCAGGCCACTGTCTTACCTGGGAAGACCACGTCTCAAGAAAACAAAACAAAAATGAAAAAGGAAATATTCATTAAACCGTAAAATGGACACCATACATTTTCAACAAATAAATATCTAATGTTAGTTCAAATATGACACTTTGATGAATATTACTTGGCTAGAATAAAGTACAAACAGCAAAGTTATGTATCAAATCTCTTGTGGGAAAACTATGAAGAAATTTGCTTCATGATTAAAAAAGATTGACCTACAATCCCATTAGCTATCTTATAAATGCAGCTTAATAAATAAAGAAGTTTTACTGGGGGAAAGGAGGAAAATTTGTTTCAGAAAGAACTGTCTCAGGGATTAAAAATAAAGGAAGAAAGAAGTTTTTTCAAGATCCATCAATTTTACCATAAAAAAAGAAAATCAATGCAAAGAACCTATTATCAGTAGATATGAAGGCATGCCTGGAAAAATTTATTGACATATGTGGTACATGGCATTGAAGTAAATGGAGTATCCGCACCTGTTCTTCATTAGACGAACCTCTCTCTTCCGTGCTGCTTCTTCAGCAGGCTGTGTAGGAAGTGCTGGGGAGGATGCCATAACAACGCCAGGGGCAATGGTGCTAGTGGGTGCTGTGCGAATCTGATATGTTTGTACATCGCCAGAAGCAGCTGTAAAGAAGAGTGAACAAGGTGTGAGACCCAGGAACACTGCAACCTAATTCTACTGTGTGTCAATCATCAATCTAAACACTTCATAGATTAGAAGGCAAACAGGGAACAGATGATTCTGGCTAAAATGTTGGAAAAAGTCAGCACTTTTAGGGTTGTTACTTAGAAATAAAAGTCCCAATTTATTATACTTCTTAGTACAGGCACAGACAAAGGATGTCTTAACCTGTCTGCTGGGTCTAATGTTTATCTTGTTGGAATGGAGCTCTATTCTGTGGTTAACATGCTTACCAACCTTAAGTCTAAAGGGAAGTTGGGCCCAGCATGGATGATCTTCCTAGACACAGTATAGTCCTCAATCTCTTCCTTTGATTTGGGTAAATTCATATTAAAAAAAATCTCAAGTAGACTTTTGCCACGATATAAAAACTACCATGATTTTTCATAAAATAGCAAAATGAAAGAGAAAATAAAGGATTATGGTCAACAATTATAAATTTCTAATTCAAACAAAACTGAGGCATAAAATGTGTGCTATCATTTTGATGGCACTTGTTGCTTTAAACATCGTTTTAATGTGAGTGATAGATAGTAACTAAATCAACTCAGGTTGGATTTTCTAACTACACAATCCACCATTTGTGAAAATAAAAAGTCACTATGGTTAATTATTTGCTTCTAAAAACAGCTTAATGAAGTAGTCTAACACTATGTGAGAGATTTTTAAGGTCTTTATGACATCATCCATATCAGATAAAAATATGAATTGTATAGTTTTCAGTGTAAAAGATTTATATACTAAACATGTTACCATCTTCAAACTGACGTTCAGAATTCAAATTCACTGACATCCTGCTTTACAATTTTTGAGTACCTGCATGTAAAGTGAAAAGGTGTTTTACTCCCATTAGCAAGCAAATTTTTTTCAAATATCATTGCTCTACTAACAGGATATATTGTGTAAATATATTAGGGACCTTTAAATAAATTAAAAAACTTTCTACATGGTATTTTGGGATTATCCAAGAGTAATTACGCATGGTGAAGGGACACAGCCGTCATTGATACAAGCAAAATTCATTATTATTAGAAAAAATTTTTAGAAGCAAATTTATTATTTCCTTGGTCTATAAATTTTTAATCTGGCATAAATTAGTCTTGAAATAGTCAAATGAATTAATGAAGGACTGTCAACAGGATCAATACATTTCTGAAATTAAAATAAGAAAGAGAGGCCAATCAAGGACTTAAGGATTGTTGTTCCTTGTTCCCCAAACGTCAGAACACCTACATAATAAAGTACGCTCTTTGGGGGATGTTTTTACCTATAGTCAAAACCACTGATTTTAGAAGAAGAAAAAGAAAGAAACAAAACAAAAAACCAAAATCCAAAATATGCAAAAAACAAAACAAGAAGCCAGAATACTAAACCTCTAAAAAATGTTTTATTGTTGTTGTTTTGAGCCAGAGTCTCCCTGTAGCCCCAACTGGCCTCAATCTCACAGATATCCACCTGCCTCTGCCTCTGCCTCCCGAGTGCTGCTCCCGAGGTACTATCCACCATGCCTGGCAAACCTCTAAAAACGATTTTTCTGGACAGGGTTTCCCTAGTTCCAGCCTGCCTGGAAGTCACTATTCAGAACAGGCTGGTCTTAATCTCACAGAGATCTACCTTCCTCTGCCACCTGAGGGCTGGGATTAAAGGCACAATCCACCATACCAGGTGTTAAACCTCTAAATATTTTCAGCAGTGACTTAACAGAGCTTTCACTTGACACATGGGGAAAGAAAGAGGACCAGAGTAGTTGGGTGTTTTGCCTGAGGTCACACAGACCTATACGGTTAGGTATGAATCTATCTTTCCTAATTCCAGATTTCCTTTTTTCCTAACCTACCCTGTTTCTACTATCCCTGAATATTAAAGGTACTTATTATATTTTAAAAGCTAAAAATAGTGTTTTTATGCTATGACATTTTGGTATAAGTAGAATAATGGAAGATTTCATGGAAAATATGTATGTATTAAATACATATTTAAATCTTTATTATCTAAATCCAGACTGAAGAAAAATTAACTATATTTTAATAGTGCTTTGCAACACGATACTTACTTTTCCTGAGTGTACAAAATTTTAATTTTTTAAAGAATGTACCACACTTATGAATTCTTAATTCCCTTACCTTGAACAACAACTTGGTTGCTGGGCACTAGAATCTGCTGTCCATCAGTGGTCTGTGCATACTGTAGAATGGTAGTACCAGGCTGAGTGGCAGCTGCATTGGTCATGGTTAGCGTTTGCAGGCCCTGTACCCCATCGGTACCATTGTTAGCCAGTTGTATTGCTCCTCCCTGGGTAATGGCAACTAAAACCCAATGAATTTTATTGTTACATGTTTAATACCACATAAAACTTTTAAAACACAATAAATCCATGTAGAGTAATTTTCAAGGGATAATATAGGAGAAATTATTATGACATCACTAAGAAAGATTTGGTAAACTCAAGTAACTTTGTGCTCAAGAAAATCATATCTAATTTCTGCAAGAGAAATGTGCTCTATGAACTGTACTACAATTAATAATGCATACTAACAATATAATAAAAAAAGTGAAAAACTTCAAATTCTTTTTTACCTTATTTGAAGAGGTTCTGTTTTATAATTCACACTTTCCTTGACTCTCGCATTAACTACCTAACATACTATTTATTATCTGTTGCCCTAATAGTAAATGAATTTCTTATAGGGAGGAAATCAGTTTTTCTTCTTTACTTTCATGCACTCAGCACAACAGTGGGCATGTAACATGTACCCAATAAATGTTTGTTAAAGTGCAATTAATAGAGCCATTTATCAGTGAATTCTATTTTCTAACTCTCCTGTCAATTCAGAAACTCAATAGCCCAGGTATGACGGTCTACCACTACTCAAGAGGCTGAAGCAGAAGGCTTAAGAGTCTGAGACCAGTCTGGAAAAACAGTAAGGTCCTGTCTCAAAATAAGTGAAATAAATACATAATTTAAAAAAAAAAAGAGCCCAGTAAGAAAGTGCCTTCCCTAGAATGTGAATTTGGTTCCAATCTCTAGGTCCTATTACTCACTCACCACAAAAAAATCTAGTTAATGAAAGAAGTGAAATTTAATGGATCTTGGTTATTACAAGTCTCTCATGAAGCTTAAAATTAAGCCCAAGATGATCATTTAGATAAAAGTATCTTACTGATTTCTAAGCTTCATCCTCACATTCTTACATAGGGTCTTTCATTGGTTATTTACTAATTAAAAACATTTGCTACTGTCCAGTACAGGTAAACTAATCAGTGCCTACAATAACAGATATTCCAGTTTTAAAAAACCTAAATCATCTTCATGCATCTGTACACAGAAAAAGTTAAATGAAAGCTGAGTTATTATCTTATTTGGAAGACATAATCTTTTAGATACCAGCGTTGAAAAATGTGTTTGAATCTTCCTGAGAAAAATCTCCTTGCTAAGGATCAAGTTTTCAAAAAAAAAAAGACCCAAAATCATAACTTTCATAATGCCACCTTATACAACTCCATTATGAATTTGTGGTGTGTATGTGTACATGTATGCAGGTCTGGGAACCCAGGAGCTCACACATGCTAGGTAAGTACTTTATCAACTGAGCTATGCTCCAAGCTCGCCATAATGGATTTTTATTGCATTTAAAGAAAAGTAAAAACTGTGAAATCAATGTACCTGACTTAAATATATTACTATCCATTAGAAGGGAATGGATTTAGGATCAATTAGCAGGAAGCTCTAGGGAACTATAAGATCCTGAATGACAAGAAAAATATAATACATATTCAATCAAGAAATATGAGTTATGTGCCAGGCATCTGGGTACATGCTTTTAATCCCAGCACTAGGGAGGCAGAGGTAGGCAAATCTCTATGAGACTGAGGCCAGTCTGGTCTACATAGCAAGTTACAGGCCAGCTGGGGCTGAAGGAATATCCTGTGACAACAAACAACCAAACAAGCCCAAAAGAAATAGGAGTTATGGAATTGGAGAGATGACTCAGTGGTTAAGGGCAATTGGTATTCTTGTAGAGGACCTGGGTTCAATTCCCAATATCCATGTAGTGGCTTATAGCTACCTATAAGTCCAGTTCTAGGGGATCTGACAAGCTCTTCTGGCCACTGAGGGCAAAAGGTACAGACATGGTACACATACATACACGCAGACAAAACATTCATGCTCAAAATTTAAAAAAAGAAAGAGTTAATGGTTATCATTTGGCTACTTTAGCAAAATGATACACTTGTGGAAATTAACACACTTAACATATAAAATCCTTCCATGCTAGCTGATGCCAGTTTTCACTTCTTTTAGACTATAAGAAAAATAAAATGTATAAGAATTATTCTAAGATTAATTTTGTAAGATTAAAGAAACAGAAAGTTAACAGAATTAAAGGATCATTTTTATATAGAGTTAGTTTCCAAATTTCAATGTATTTAACATGCCACATATTTCTTGGTTACACAACAATGAATTCAAGGTGAAAGGAAAAAAGAGACCACATATGACAAGATTTGAACTGTAGTCCATGAAGTCATAATTTGAATCTGTTATTTTTTCTGGAAGTATAAAAAATATCTGATCTTAGACACCAGATGTTGTTGTAAACATTAAATAAGGTCATGTATTTGAAAATATGTCTAATCTATTCCTGTTGAACTTGTTTTGTATTCTAGAATACTTATTGGTATACTCTTGAGTATTTCAATAAAACCAAATTCACTAAAACCAGGATAGAAAGGTAGATGCAACGCATGGCCCTACATATACATATACCAGGAATTTTAGACTATGGAAGTATAATTAGGTTATAATTTAAACACTTTAAATATAATTAAATTGTATTAGTTGAGCTTCTGTATAACATGTACATGTACAGGACACAGGATTCGTTTATGTAAAAATGGAATGAGAAAGTATGGAGGAATATATCAAAGTCTTCCTACTGGGGAAGGATAAAAAGCTTTACATTTTATAGGTATTATAACCCTCTAACCCCTGAATTCTGACAATCATATTTATTTTACAAGTAACAAAATAAGTAACTTTTGTTGTACACATGAGTTAATGAAAAAAATCAAGAACACGATGTTAAATCAGTTTCATGAAAGCCATAGAACATAAACCAAGAGGATAAAAACAAAATAAAGCTTTAAAAATCTCAAAGGTTGCTCGCTAGGCGTGGTGGCGCATGCCTTTAATCCCAGCACTCGGGAGGCAGAGGCAGGTAGATGTCTATGAGTTCCAGGGCAGCTGGGGCTACAGGGAGACCCTGTCTCAAAAAGACCAAAAATAAATAAATAAATAAAAAATTAAAAAAAAAATTTCAAAGGTCAAATAATCATCATCACAACAACAAAAAACTCAAAACAAAAAAATCCAGGTATAGTGGCACATGCCTTAATCCCAGCACTCAGGAAGCAGAAGCAGGCAGACCTCTGAGATTGAGGTCAACCTGGACATAGCAAGTTCCAGGCCAGTTGGGGCTATAGGGAGACCCTATGTCAAAAAAATAAAAACAAAAAATTAAACAATCTCAAAGTATTCAGTTGCTGAGAGTGGTGTGCAACAAGTATCCAAGTATCTAAGGATGGTAATGCTTTTCTAAACTTTACTTCTCTCAGTTTCTGATAAGTCTCTTTCCTAAAGAGCATATTTTCTACTTCAAGTGAGAATCTCCACAGTAGGGAGTCTGTTATTGGCAGGAATGTGTTCTATGTGTGAAGTTGGAGGAAAACAAAGTTAAAGAAGATACATCTAGAATAACTAAAGTTATCCAGATATGAAGCTATCTTAAACTAAAAATACACACATACACACAGGTATAGAGATAACCTCTTTATAGCTGCCAACAAAGAATTTAAGAAGGAAAAAAAACAAAGCTAAGCTCATTTAGTTCAGTCAGTGAGCTCAGATAGCAATGTAGCTTATCAAAAACGCCCTCCCTTCTACATACTAGCAAGAAGATTCAGTTTTAGAGAAGCTGAGAATTTTCCTTGGGAATCTGTGTTTAATACAATTGGAATATAAATTCCAGGTAGGGAAACCATCACTGGACTGAAATTAAAAAAAATAGTAATCTGTGCATGAATCACGTAAGAGACATACTGGAAGGCAAAAGTGACATTCACACAAGTGCCTTTTATCAAACAAAAACAAAATTCAAAAGTACTTTATAATATTTCCAGGTAAAAGAGAAAAAGTACTAAGCATAAGACAGATACCACAAAGTGAAAACTTGAATGATTTGGCAAAGAAATCATTGTTTTCCAGACATTATCCCAACAGTGTTCTGCTGATGTTTATATTATCCTAATTGACTAAATTGCCTTCCACATGAGAAGAAATGACTTGAACATACTGATAGACTATAACCAAGCCACTTCCACTTGAACACTAAGTATAGAGATCTTTAGATACGATTTTTATTTTATTTTAAGATGATTTTTAGAAGGTAAAATTAAATAATAAAAAATAGATAAATTGACAGAAACTTTTTTTTGCCTTAATCATAACCAAAGAGTGATTGTTTTCCTTATCTGAAAAAGCTTGTCTTTTTAAAAACTACAATCTAGAGTATTTAGCACTGTGGAAAACTTCAGATTTCTCTGTGAATTTGTACTAAACTAAAGAAAACGCAATAACTTACATACTTAAGAAACCTTAAATGTTCTGAAGAAAACACTTTCATCACATACGTTTCAATAGTGAACAGTAAGGGAAAAACAATACTGACAGCAAGATGAGAAAAGCCTTGGCATTTGTATGGTCTCTTTAAAGAGAGTCTGACAATTAGTTTTTCTTCTTAACTTTTCATAATGGAAATATTTGTTACTCACTGTACTGTCCACTGCTAGTTTGGTAAATTGGAGTTGGCACCGTTACAGTGGTGATGGCAGGGGCTGAAGTCTCCTCTTCCGACTTTTCTTCTTCAATCCTTGGCACTCCTGGTGCATCAGAAGATAAATCATTCAAAATTTTCCTAGAAAAATAAGGGACTGTATTAATTAAAAGTAAAATTTACTGGCTAAATCCAAACAATAAAGATTAAAGACCCAGTAACAAATACGACAGAAGTTTAAAATACATGACAACTTATACAAATTATTTAAACCAAATAAATCAGGGATGTCAGAGAACTAGAAAAAAGAAAAAAGGCATATACATTTATATGTATTTATTTTGGTTTTTTGAAATAGTATCTTGCTATGAAGCTCAAGTTGTTAAGTCACAATCCTACCTCAGCTTCCTGGGTTCCAGGATTACAGTTACAAAACCTGCATGCCTGGCTCTAAATATGTGCATTTATATAAACAGGCAAACAAAATTGTAGCACAAAGATATATTCCTTCCTGTGGATTATGGCTGAAAAGTTTAAAAATTCCCTTTAGGCTTACAATCTAACCCATCTTTCTTTTGTATAAAAATCCAAACACACGAACCAGTATTTTACTCTTATTCTAGTTCTTCAAATTATTGATCACCTTGGTTAAAGAGTTAAGTACCTTCTCTGGAACAAACTCTTAATCCAGAATCCAATATGTGAGCAACTGGTTTATTTGATATTCACTTTTGGAGGCTTTACAGTTATCACTACAGTACCAGTCCCTTTCTTTTGGCTGCTATCATCTTTCAAGGTACTCATTACCATCTGGATACTTATTAGCCCTTATGTCATTTGAAAATCTGTGTTTTTCAGCTAAATGACTAGTAAAAATTCAAGAGAAACCAAGTGGTGGGTGCATCCTTATGCTGCTTATAAATTGTTTTAAAGACAGATTGTTCCAACAAAACCTAGTCTGTATTAGCAATCAATTTCATTTTTCCAACCTTGCCAAGAATAAGAACTCTGTTATAATAAAGATATAGAGGCCATATCTCAGGAGTTGATAAATGTAAAATAACGGTACTCCAGAATCCTTCACATCCCTTTCTCTCCATGATTGGCCTCACTTGATTATTAAAGTTTAGTCTATAAGCCAATTAAGCCAAATAAGAGACTGTTTTTCAATGTAAAGATCATATTCTTTTTTTAGGTATAACTATGTGTATGATTTTTGTGTATACACCCATCATGGTATCCATGTGGAGGTCAGAGGACAGCTTTGTGGAGTTGGTACTCTCCTTCTACCTTTACATAGGTTCCGGAGACCAAACTCAGGTCTCCAGGCTTACAGAGCAAGCACCTTTACCCACTGAGCCATCTGCAACCCCCTAAAGTTTGTATCTTATGAGGCTTATAGCTGAGATTTGCCAAGAATTCAGAGAAGTCACATGATTTGTTTCTTAATATTTTTGTTAGATTTGCTGCAGGATCAAACGTATTGTATATACTAACATGAGATATACTTCAGTGTTTTAAAATATAACACTTGCTATATTTAAAACAAAAAAAGATTATAAATGTCTATAGTCTATACCCTATAACACAAAATTTAAAACTTCAAAATCAACCCATTGATAATTCACTAAGAACTCTTAATTTGTGAGTATGAAAAAAAGCTTAAAAAGTACATCACTTCTTGCATGTACGTGTGTGTGTGTGTTGGGGGATGAAATACCCTTATAAAATAGGAATATACGTAAATAGGCATAATTTAAACTAACAAAGAAGACAACTACAAAATTCAATAGTTTATTAAATTCTAAAGTAAGCTTATCAGATTCATAGACATGGTCTTTCTAGAGACATTTAATATGGATCCGATTTATACAATATACTAAAGTTCCTATGGACTAGGCAGCACTCACAGGTGAACACAAAACTAGAGGATGTTAGCAAAGCACTATCCTGAAACAACTACAAAACGAACATAGTCATCTGCTAAGTGCCATGGCATAAAAATGATTCGTAAATGTACACAAGTACATTTACAAATAGTGTATCCCTAGAAGTGACACACAACCAGAAAATGCTGTAGCCTCATCAGATGCATCCCAAACTTTGTAAAGGAAAAGCAGCAGTCAGCAGATCTATAAAAACAGAACTAGAAAAAAGCATTTTTCTGGAACTGTTAAAAGTGGCCTTTTTTTAAAAAGAATATTTTTATTTTTCCACAGAGAGGCAAATTTTAAACACATTTTTCCAGAAATAACTCAAAGCAGGTTATATAAAAATATATACCCAATGAACTTTAATGGGGGAAAAGTAGGAATAAACAATCAAAGACCAAAGGATTTGCCAACATGTGGTCAACTTTGGTGGAATAAGGTTTCCATTAGATGTTTTTTTTTTTTTTAAATCCTAACTAGTTTATTGGGTTGTTAACAGAACATAGGGTAGGGGTTTATTTACAGAGACTGGGCACCCCATAAGTAGTCTTTTCTTAAAAAAGTTATTTATTATTTTTATTTTATATGAATGTATGAATAAATTGCCCGCAGAGTGTGTAAGTGTGGCCATGTCACACAATGCTGTGGAGGTCAGAAGAAGGCATTAAATTTCCCTGGAATTGGAGTAAAGACAGTTGTTAGCCATCACGTAGGTGCTGATAATCAAACCCAGGTGCCCTGCAAGAGAAGCCAGTGCTCTTAACCACTGGGCCATGTCTCCAGTTTCTGAGAGAAAGTAGCCTGATTACGTACAGTAAACATCAGCTTATTTGAGAAGTAGCTCAAGATGAAACATAATCTGCAGCTACTTGGTGTTCTGACATCTCCATATACAGTTATCTAAGCCTTACTGCACACCTTAGATTCTTTTTTTTTTTAAATATATTTTTTAAATTTATTATTTTTATGTGTATGTGTATTGCCTGCATGTAGGTAAGTGCACCCGTGTCGTGCAATGCCTGTGGAGGACAGAAAAGACTGTCGGATACCCTGAAACTGGAGTTACGGACAGTTGTTAGCTGCCATGTGGGTGCTGGGATTCGAACCCAGGTCATCTGCAAGAACAGTCAGTGTTCTTAACCACTGAGCCATCTCTCCAGCCCCACACCTTAGATTCTTAGCTATTAAATTCCATACCTGTAGGAAGGCCTCCTTGAAAGAATTTCCCTTCGTTTTTGGGAATCAGTTACACTATCCACTGACTCCTGTGAATCTTCACTTTCTGCAATGGTTGAAATCTGAAAATAAAGCAGAACTTTACCTTGATAATCAAGTTTAGTTCCCATAAATGTTTAAGTCAAACACAAAAGAACTTATATATATATACCTTAAACATGCTTCAAGGTTTTTTTTTTTAAATGTGTATGACTGTTTTGTCTGCATATATTAAGAGCAATACATGTGTGCATGCCTGTGGAGGTCAGAAAAAAAGAGGGTACTAGATTCCCTGGAAGTGGAGTTGCAGAAGGTTGTTAGCTGCCATGTAGATGCTGGGAATTGAACCCAGCAGGACCCTCTGCAAGAGCAGTAAGTGCTTTTAACTGCTGAGCTCTCCCTCCAGCCCCATGATTCAGTTTATAATGGGAGACAACCACACCAATAATTCATCCCCTATGGACTAAGATGAAGTGAGGGAACACTAAACCAATTGTCCAGAAAATACCTGTCTTTAATTTTCCAAACACCAATCTTGAATATATCCCTATTGTCAGTTATTTCTTATAGCTGTTACAACAGAGTTGCCAACCCAAGTAAGATTTCTGACATGAGGGCAAGAATGAATGACTAAGTGGTTGGCCCTGAGCATAGTAACCATATTTTTCTGTAATTACTGTGCAAACACTTATATATCAACAGCTGTGCAAATAAAACCGGTGATTACTCGCCATATTACAGACTTGTTTCTAGTAAGTTAGTAAACGTCCTCTACTACATATAGATGTATTTCAAAGTTGGCATTCTACAATTTTTCTAAAGCAAAAATTCAAGGTAAAGAACTGTGTGTTTCTGTTAAGGGCCCTTGGACTAAAAAATGAAGATAGCAAATGAAAAAAGACTCTACATGGGAAAGGAGAAATTTATGTTGTACACGCTCACTTTAGAAAGAAATCAGTAATGCTCTAAAGTAATATACCTCATCCAAACTCTTTAAAGTAATAAGAAGTATAGTACAAACAACCTAAAAATCAGTGGGCAACAATTAGTAAGTCTAGAAATGATAAATACAAAGATGGATAAGGATAAATTTAACCTACTACCCTCAGAGGAGTAATAAAGTTACAGACTGCTCTCAAAGAATAGCAAAAAATATCCTATTTATCAGGAGCTGCTATGCCTAGTTCAGTCAACAGTCTCTGCACAAATGTTCTCATAGATAAAGAGCAGATCCGAAACTGGGAAAAAGCCTTAACAGAACATCATGAATTCAAGGGACAAAAAGTCTAAATTCAACGTGGGTACTACTACGACAAGTCGGTTTATCGTTATCAAACTTAGTCCCTTTTTGGCTTTCCCTTCTTTTTGACTCTTAGATATGATACACTTTATCCTTAGAATTGCCTTTTGGGGGCAGGGGGATGTTGGAGAATAAGAGTCTTGCTTTATAGCCCAGGTTGATCCCAAACACAACAATTCTCCCACCTCAACTTCTAAGTGCTGTGATTACAGGCATGTACCATTTCATGCCAGGCTCTTAATTATCTTTTAAGGACATACAGTGATTTAAGAACACCCCCATTTCTTTAGTGAAACTCACTAGAACAAGCTATATAAGCTGATCACATAATGAACTTGAAGATGTACCTCAGTTGGTACAGAGATTGCTTAGCATTAACAAAACCCTGGGTTTGTTCTCCAGTACCATATAAAACTGGATATGATGGCTTATGCCAGTAATCCTGGCACTGGGGAGGTGGAGGCCATAGGATCAGGAGCTCAAGGTCATCTATGCCATACAAGGAGTGAAAGCCAGCTTTTGGCTACATGAGACCGTATTCTTAAAAACCAACCAAACCAGAACAAACAAAAAGCAAACAACAAAATCCTAAAATACATAAACTAAGCACAGATTGGTTTTGAAATGAAATACTGCTGTTTTAGTTTAGCTCTGTTCCCCACACCAAACTCTGTGAATTTAGTTGCTCTTTTCTAATACAAGATTTTGTGTCAATTCAGACAGAAAAAATTAATATTACTAATGATTCTACCTTTTTTTTTTTTTTTTTTTTTTTTTTTTTTTTGTCTTTTTGAGACAGGGTCTCCCTATGGCCCTAGCTGGCCTGAAACTCACAGAGATCCGCCTGCCTCTACTTCCTGAGTGCTGGGATTAAAGGCATGTAGGTAGCATCATGCCCAGTTATGATTCTACCTTCTTAATGTACAGGAAATCAGACTACTCAATACCACAGAATGAATTTGATATTTCTTCTTCAGGAATATATTTAGGGAGAACTATGAAACCCAAATCTTATGAATGGTCTAAAACAAGAAAACAAAATTACACTGCTATAACATGCACTAACACCAAGAGAGAAGCCTGTATCATCTTAAACCTATGGACTCGAATGATTATGATGTCTCAGTTAGAAAAGGCATAGCCACCTGCTCTGTACTGTGGGGGGGGGCAGGTGCGGGGATATGCTATGCATGTGTGGGGTCTAGGAATATATGGGCAATCTCTATTATCTTTCAATTTTGCTGTGAAACTAAACCTGTTCTTTAAAAATGAAATCTTAAAAAGAAAATCATCCTGGATCCATGTTTTTGACACTAATATAAAAAGTCAAAATCCAATATACAATTATAGTCAGTATATAACAAATTAAAACTAATCATAAAAAAATTAAAACCCAACTAGAGTTTTCACAAATTACCACATTCTAGTAACAGAACTCCTCCTCTGGTCCTCACACCTCCTGCCATGTTTCTTAATTTCTTCCTGAGTTTTTCAAATAGGTCTCTCATTTTGGCCACTTGTAACAGTCAAGACATTTTCAAACTCATACCTCTTGTCTATATAAAGGGGATAATTCTTTATTTTTATCATTTGAAATTTTAAAAAAATTATTTATTTTTTACACCCACTTCCGAGATAGCACCCTCCCAGAGCCCCCCCCCCCCACTAGAGCCCTTATACTCTGATATCCCTGCTACTGTCTGCTGTGTTGTCGGCACCTCCAGCCATTCCCCACTATGTGCCCTTCTGGTGAATCTAGTCAGCCTATCTAGAGGTCTTTGTTTTAGGAAGGTCAGCTGTTCCTCATCTAGCAGCAATCAGTTGTCAATATTCCTCTGGATAAGACGGGGGTCTGCTGTTCATTTTCCCAGTTCTACGCTGGGTTACTATCTGGGAATCCTTTTGGCCACCCTGGCCAACAACTCAAAAGAAGGGATCGCCAGTCCGGCATTGTTGCTTCTTATGTAGCCTTTTGCTATACATATGGACTCTTATGTAATGGACTTGAACCAGTGTCCAGTCTATAAAGAGGAGGGTCAACACAGAGGAATCATTTCCTCCATGCTTCCAAGCGAAGCCAACCATGGTCGAGCAGGACCTTTGACTTATCTTCACATAGGCGAAACTGGTAAAAGAAAGGACCCAAGCCCATATGACCCCTGAGGAACAGATCCTCAAATGACCTTAAGAGTAAAAATAAATCAGTTTACCCGGACCAACTGTATGGCCTTACTTACCCAAAAAGGATAAGATTCCAATATGGCAGAAGAGCCATGGCAGAAGGCAGGTGTGTACAGAAAGTTGATCATTTGTAAATTTAAGCAGGCACAGGAAGGAGAGGGAGAGGGAGAGGGAGAGGGAGAGAGAGAGAGAGAGAGAGAGAGAGAGAGAGAGAGAGAGAAAGCCATGTGTGTGTAGGTGCATGCAAGGGCTCAGAAGAAGGCATTAGATCCCTGGAACAGGAGTGAGTGGCCTGACATGGATGCTGGGATCCAAACTCGGGTCTTATGGAAGAGCAACAAGTGCTCTTCACCATTGAGCCACGCTCTAGCCTAGATTTTGAAATTTTAAATAACTATACAATGACCAGAAATAAATCAAACAAATGATAAAACTATATAATCCTCTGGAAACTTAAGCACTTTCTTTGGTTTGGGTTATGACTCCTGGTTTAGATAACTTTTTACTACTGGATCAAAAAAGCTTAGTAAAAGCCTAGAATATTGATCTTGAAACTTGATTTGCAGATTTCCCTTATAAGTAAGAAAATTTTACATGGGCATATATATTTCTTATTTGTAAATTATAAGTGTTACTTATAATAAAAGAGTTCCTAGGATAAGGATATTTCTTATAGAATTATTTAAGTTTTCACTAACAGTGAAAATGATGTGAATAAATATGCTTCATTAGAAAAAAAAAAAACTGCCAGGCGTAGTGGCGCACACCTTTAATCCCAGCACTTGGGAGGCAGAGGCAGGAGAATCTTTGTGAGTTTGAGGCCAGCCTGGTCTACATAGTGAGTTCCAGGACAGCTGGGGCTACAAGAAGACCCTGTCTCAAAAATACAAAAAAAAAAAAAAAAAAAAAAAATCTTGCTGGGCATGGTGGCACACGCCTTAAATCCCAGCACTTGGGAGGCAGAGGCAGGTGTGTTTCTGTGAGTTCAAGGCCAGCCTGGTCTACATAGTGAGTTCCAGACCAGCTGGGGCTACAGGGAGACCCTGTCTCAAAAAGACCAAAACAAACATCAAACAAATAAAAAATATCTTTTTACAGATGAAGAGGACGACGATGAGGATGAGGAAGAATTAACAAAACTAAGTGTCTTGTAGGTTGTGCTTACAAAATAAACCATGTTTTCATTATCATCTTCCAATACGGTAAGTTATTGATAAGATTTACCCAATGTATTAGATCCTTGGATCTAAGATGGTTACTGCATGCTATCAAGAAGGCATTACATTTAAATTAGGGTCTTACCAAGTAGCCACAGCTGGCTTGGAACTCATTATGTAGACCGTGCTGATCTTGAACTCATAGAGATCTGCCTACCTCTGCTTCCTGAGTGCTGGGATTAAAGGTATGCACTATCATGCTCAGCCAATTTCATGTTTTTAACAAGTTCAATATGTACTGAAATTAAGACCTGTGAAGCAATTTAGAAAATTCTAAGGTTTAAAATGTATAGATTTGAATTTTTAGAGAAGATTAAAAAAAAAAATATTGTTTACTGTGGAAAAAAAAAAGCTAAGGGAACATTTTGCAAATGTTCTTCCCATAGCCTAAGTTTCTTCCAAAAAGTAGCTACTCTGTCATATGTGGCTAAAGTATTTTTTCCCACAAGGGATAGTTCAGATAAAAAATAAAAATCCCCCCTCCCCCCAAAACTCATCTATTAGGTAAAATACCCCTTCAAAGTCCTTGTTCTCCACCATTAAAAAGATAGAAACTTTGGAATACTTAAGTTAAAAACAAAAAACAACTTCCTCTTCCTCAACCCCACTATCATCCTTAAGTTAGATGCTTAAACGCTTTTCTACATAATGACCATAGAACCTCTATGCTATATAAGATTTTTATTGCCGTCCCCATAGTACAAAGTATTAAAAAGACTCTCAAAACTCTGATCTCCAACCACTCTTCTCCTTGTTTACTTTATTTCAGCAGCCAGGATTATCTTGCTATTCCTTGAAATTCCAAGCATACTTATTTCCAAATCACTGGATTGTTTGTATCATCAGCTTGGTTTAGCTGTTTTCACTGCCTTCTGTTTTCTATTCACTGTGTTCACCAACCACCTTAACATAAATTAGAGCACCCTTCCCTTTGCATCCTTGGCTACCCTTTCCCCTGTTTTATTAACTCTCCAGCACTGATCCTCACCTGACATATTTTATTTTTTCATAGTCTGTCTCTCTTCACTCAAATGTGATCTTCGTGAGAACAGAGATGTATTGTTTGTTCACTGCTGTCTTTGATAGAACCTAGAACAATGACTGGCACATAGCATGTGATCAATAAACATTTGTTGAAGAAATGGACGTAATAATTTAAAGTAATAAAATCCATAAATTCTGACTGGCACATTTAGACTGCACTATATTGAAATGTGGTCAAACAGATAAAAGTGAGGGTGCTATTCACTGTCAACCCTGTTTACACTGTGTAACCATTATTTTTGCGAGAGTTTCCACATACTCTGTGAGATGTGATTTATACACATATATAAGAATAAAGTTAGGGCACCAAAGTCAAGCTGTACACAAAATATTAACACAGCTTAGTTTCTTGCTAGATTAAAATATACAAACAGAAGTTCTAATATCTTATTCTCCCATTAAGAAACATATGTCTTGTACAGAAACTTTGCTACATAATACGAATATTCTCCTATTGAGCGACACTTCCATTCCTTCTTTGATAACTTATTTTGTTATATACTCCTCCCAGTTATTAACACGAATCACTTGCTAGCTAGCTAAAGTGACCATTAAAGTTTAACAGATTCTCCATAGTTTAGGGTTTTAAAAAAATATGTATGAGTATACACATACCCTCACACACACATTTACATCTCCATATAGTCTAGGTTTCAAGAAGTCCAACTTTTCTTTTCCAAGTATGTATATTTTAAATTATAAACACAGCTCAGTGCATGAAAAATGAATTCTTGAAAAGAGGAATACATATTTCTATAGAAGTTAAGGTCATATACTCCCCAGGTTTAAATTATGGTGCCCCTAAAATAAAGATTAGAATTAGGAATGCAACAACAAACATCACATTTTCTACCTAAAAACTGTAATATTTATAGCATAATTTTATTTTTTTAATAGAAAAACCTTCTGTAAGTGAAAAACAGAAAGTAAGGGTTAACATTAACATGTTCAAGGTCACCTGACTCATTACTATCCAAAGTGGCTCTGAAATATACATCTCCTGACAGCAGGCCAAGTTCTTTCCACTATTATCAAGACGAGGGTTTAAGTGTGGAATTAGTAATGAGATAGTACAGAGAAAGGTAAGAAAGCATTCAGTGAAATTAAAACTAAGTCAACAGACTAACTCTCATCATTGTGATCTCTCAGAAATAGGCTTGTATTTGAATAATACTGTCTGTCACCTACTTGTTAGCAAAGTCCACTGCCCATATCCTCAGGAAATTCACACAACAGAAGATTTCACATGAAAACATTTTTCTACGCCCTACTTAAGCATCAAAGCAAACAAAACACACAAGGAAAGAAAGTAGAAGAGGTAACAGCAGCTCAATAGCTCAGCATAATAAAGCTGACAAAACCTGCTATGTCATTTAATGATAGTAATAGAATGCTTCCAGGACAAAGGGGGCACCTCTCTCCTTTGCAAATACCAGTCAGTTCTGCCTCTCATGCTCAAGAAAAATACAATAGCTTTCATCTAGAAGAAAACAACCAAGGCTGATGAAGAGAAATCAAAGGTACACCATGTAATAAAAAGTTGAAGAAAAAAAAACGGGTTTGCTGAGTCTAGAAATTTTCTTACACGTAGGAAAAGTGTGGGGAAAGAAGGGAGAGGAAGCAGTTTGACAGAGTATTAGATTTGCTAATCTACTTTTGAGGAAAAAACCAGGATCATCAGGTCAATTTTAAGAAAGGCATCTTTTATCTAAGTACACAAGAATAGTTCAGCAATTAGGATTCACCCTAATTGTACATAGACTGCTTCAGGAGGTAAAGCTCCCTTTATCTCAAAGTGTCTATACAATCCTGGACTACCAGCTGAAGGAGCAATGTTATACAGAGGAATTCAGCAATAGACCAAGGGGAAGTAGGTTACAATCAAATGACCTCTTAGGCTTTGACTCAAACCTTGAAATTTCATGTTTATACAGTAGGACAAAGATAGAAAGAATTTCTCACCTTCCTTTCTAAAAATAGTTCTCTTCAAATCTACGACCTAGGACTCACCTGTGTTCCGGAGAAAAGTCTTTTTAAGTCCTTACAGGAAGACTGTGAAGCAAAAAATATGAAATGGGAGGCTGGGGTTATGGCCTACTTTCACGAATGTTCAGATTTTTTTTTTTCTTCAATCACTTGAATTGCAAAGATCTACACTGATCTTGGGTCCCTGACTTAAGCAGTCTCCTTCAGAAGTCTAGAGTTGCCTTTATTTTCTTTTACTCCAAAGGAACAAACTCTCCAAAGACTTAAATATCATGTGTAATATAATCAATGATTCTGATGATGTACCTTCTGAATATATAATTTCAAAGTTATACACTGTAACTGAAAGCTCTAAACACAGCCAATATTATGTTTTATGTGATCTCTAAGTCAAAACAATATCTCATGTTGTATGTGACCTCTAAATCAAAATAATTTTTATTATTTTTCCCCCCACACAAATGTAGGTTTACAAAACAATGATAAAGTAATTAATTTTGTAAGTTAAATTTTCCTTAACAGAGGTACATCAGTCTTATAGTCTCTGCCAAACATTTTCATTTTACCCCATATATTTAATTACTTATCATTGCTACAGAATTTTTTTTTTCTTCTATAGCTTAAGAAAAAGTAATTTTCTTTGGGTCTGCTCTTGCTAGATATACATAAGTATACAGATACAACACAGTATTTTACTATGAAATAAACTCTGAACTAGATGTGCCCTTATTTTTAGTATTAATGAAAAGAGACAGAAATGGTTATAAGCAAGTTATTAAAGTATATGTAGAACTTTTTATACACATACCTGAACTGTTTGGACTTGTGGAGACTGAATAACTGATGGCTGGGCCGCCTGAATAACTCCATGGACTTGAACTGTCTGCCCATTGGGCAGTTGTACTAAAGTTACAGTGGGAGCAGATGATGTTGCATGAGCTGCTGGCATGGATACCTAAAATGTTGAACATGGAAAACAATTACTATCACAGTTACCTCTATGGGACTACTGAGGGTCAATATGAAGTAACTTTTTATAAGCAAAAAAAAAAAAAGACCTTTTTGTTAAATAAGTATTTCACCAATGTCAAAGAATCCAGTAACAATATTCCTAAAAAAATTAAACCCTGTATATCCTCCTCCTGTTTATTTTTCAGCTGTTCCCAAAAGATAGAAACAAGACAGTTAATTTAAGTAATATCAAAATATGTAACCCAGTCACTCTCTGAGTGCTAAGGGTCACTTTATTTTTATGGTGCTTTACATTTCCCCTCCTGCTTTTATATCCATTTTTTTTTTTTTTATTGGTCTTTGACAGGGTCTCTCTAGTCAGCCTGCCTGGAAGTCATGATGTAAACCAGGGTGACCTGAGAGATCCATCTGCCTCTGCCATCTGAGGAAGTGCTGGGATTAAAGGTGCACACCACCACACTGGCGTTCTCACTTTTTTTTTCTTAAAAAAAAAAAGAATTTAAGACTGAATAATAAGGATTATCTTCACTTTAAAGACAAAAATGTATAAAGAGATTAATTTCTCCAAGTTCAACAACAGATAAGCTGCCTTTAGAGAAGCACAAATGTCTTGAGTACCATGTATTAAAGCCATGTTTTAAAATCTTAGTGTCTCAAACTTGGGCAAAATGGACTTACTAAATTTAAGACAATACACATTTTAAAATAAGCAGCTTAGTTTTCTAGTTTAGACTAATTATAAGCATGTCTTTTCATTACTGGGCAAATATTTCTATACATTATAACACATTTTCAATTCCTCCCCACAAAACTCACTCAACTGGTAACAGATGGTATTTAAGAATTTGTTTTCAGTTTGAATGGATAAAGGAGCAAAGGTGAAAGAAACCCATTTTCTCTTGAAGCACAAGGAAGCAATTTTAATGAGTCAATATTCAAGTTCCTTAAACCCTATGTATCTATCAGATAGCAGTTATTGTTCCTATGCCCCGACACATTCAAGATAGGATTTTTATTGCTCATTTAGTAACAGCTACCAGAATCCTTGTAACCAGGAACAATGTTAGAACTAAAACCACAGTATTGAGAAAGACATAGGTCCCTGACCTCAAAGAACTTACTGATGTGTGTTTATAAGGAATGTGGGAAACACATGCATCACTATTTGATGTAGGAAATGAGAGAGAGTAACAAACGATCCCAAAGGAAAATGATGTAGTCACAAAATCCTCTACACGTTATGCTACATTTAAAAAACTTGCATTTTAGCCAGGCAGAGTGGCTCATGCTTATAATGTCAGTACTGAGGAGTCCGAGGCAGGAGAATTTCCATGAGTTCAAGGCCAGCCTGAGCTTCAGCGTAAGACCTTGGGTTAAAAGATTAAAAAAAGACTTGCTTTTTTTTTTTTTTTTTAACCATGAGAATACCAGAGGAACTGCTGAAGGGCTTGTGCGAGGTTTGCATTTTAGATAGATCCCTTTAATGGCTGAATGGTGGACATAATACACTTCAGGGGGAAAGACCTGGAGGTGAAGAGACCATGAGAAAGTTTATGCAGTAGTTAAGATGATATGATGAAGGCCAGAAACAGGGGAGAAGTGATTTATGAAATCTAGAGATTCAATCAAAGATGAAAAAAAAAATGGGTAAACTTATGTCATATGAAATGGAGAATGAAGGAAGGGTAAGGTCTGGAGTAGTTGGGGCAATGGTAGGAGGTGAGAGAAATGGATGTGAATTTGCAGACTTATGCAGCAATCAGATACTTCACTGAAGCTTGGGGAAAAGCTCTCAACTGAAGACAGTACCTTGCGCACATATTTAAACTACGAGTTTCCCTTTTTATTTTTTGGTAGCTATAAAACCCTTCTTTATTAGTCATACTCTCTATAGACACTTTAAGTTTCCTTTAGTTTTATCTGAGTCTCTAAATGTCATCCTGGGACTATCTGCAGAGTCACATAGGGTAGGGTATCTGAGAGGAACCCAAGAAAATTTCCCCTTCAAGTTTGAAAGGCTCAGCCCTAGGTTATTTTGAGTGGAATATCTCATTGGAATTCCATACGAAAGCTGTTCTATTATTTGAGGCAATTATAGTATCCCTTTCCATGCATCCTCTATGGGTAAATATAACAAGCTACCACAGTAATTCCTTTTTTACCCTAGTCATTCTTAATCACAGCTCCTGGTATTTAAGTATTAAATAGAGTAAAAGCCTCTCCCTCCCGTCTGTGTTGACATACACTTCTATCAGAGGTATCCAATCTTTTGACATTGTGACACTGACATCTTCAAGTATCTGTGCTACATTCATAGCTATGCCAGGAAGCAAGTGGCCAGTCGCAGGTGCACATACCTGACAGATGTTTTTCTTTTTTTTTTTTTTTTGCTTTTTGATACAAGGTCTCCCTGTAGCCCCACCTAGCCTGGAACTTACTGTGCAGACCAGGCTGGCCTTGAATTCACAAAGATCCACCTGCCTCTGCTGGATTAAAGGTGTGGGCCACCACGCCTGGCTATGACAGATGTTTCTTAAGTTACAGAGATGCATTAGATTTTTACAACACACTATCATGGAATTTATTTTTTTAATATTTTATTAATTTTATGTGTATTGCCTACATGTATGTAAGCGCACCTGTATCATGCCTGGGGATGCCTGGGGAGGTCAGAACAGGGCATTGGATCCCCTAGAACCGGAGTTACAAATGACTGTCAGCTACCATATAGGTACCAGGAACTGAACCCAGGTCCTCTGAAAGAGCAGTCAGTGCTCTTAACCGCTGAACCATCTCTCTAGCCCCAGAACCTACCTTTTAAATCTTTAAATCTATTATAAATATTTTTCACACTCTTAATGGTTTTAATAAGGCTTCATAATAGGAAAAGGTTTATAAATGATTCAATAAAGTCTCTGTACTGAAATGTATTAAAATTTTACATTCACAACTGGATATGGTGGTAATATGTTAGTAATCCCAGCACTCAGGAAGCTGAGGCAGATTACCAAGTGTGAGAGCAGGTTGTGCTACACAAAAAAATTCTAGTCCAACCAGGGATACATAGTGAGACCCTGTCTTAAAAAACAAAAATTATACATAGTCAAAACCAAGGAGGTTTTTTTTAAACTTTAAATTCTAAAAGTTAACTAAGATATATTTTGTTTCTTCCTTTACTAGACTGAATTTCTTTCCTATTCATTGACCAAATCACAATCATCTTACAGTAGTTTAACAATGTTTTCCTAATACTTTAATTGGCCTTAAAATATATCTGAAATCAGAATCAACAGGAACTTCTATCAAAATGTATGATACACACTCCTCCAAGGCTCAGGGAACAATGCAGAAGAGGAGGCAGAAAGAATTCAAGAGCCAGAGGATGGAGAGGAGTGTGTGAAACTCTGGACGTGACACTACTGTTGCACACATGAATTCACAGCAGCCATAGTAATGCACACAAGATGGGGTCCATTACCATTCCATCATGGATGGGGGCAGGGCTTCATGAACTACCTGAGGAAATATTAGCAGTTAAATGGTTGCTGGGAGAGGGTGAGTCATCTTCTTCAGGGTAAAGCTGCTGCCAAGTTGTCCATACTCTAGTAACTTCCACTTATGCTCATACAAGTAATCCTAAACTCAGTCAAAAACCAAACCAAAAAACAAAAGAGTCTGAAACCCACAAAAGTAGAAAGGAGTCTTGTTGGAAAGTGTTCAATAGGAATGGGAAACAGCAACAGGATGAAAATGACCCATATACAAGTATTAAACTGTCAAAGAATAGTTTTAAAAAGTATATTTGTTAAGGAAATTGGATGAACAAATACAAAAAGACAACTGTAACTGAGAAAAAAAAATGAAATAAAAAAATAAAAATATAAACAAGAAGAGGTAACAGTTTTCCTAAAATTCAAATCTGACCATGCACTCTACTTTTAAGTCTGCACGTTAGAGGGCGGCTTGATAAACTGAACATGTGAATATAATTTTGTTTCCCTCTAAATCCCAAATTATACTTCATGAAATTAACTTCATTTAAAAAATATTTTATTATTTTCATTTTCTGTGTATAAATGTAGTGCCTACATGTATGTAAGTGCACGCGTGTTATGCAATGCCGGCAGAGGTTAGAAGAGGGTGTCAGATCCCCTGGAACTGAAGTTACAGAGGATTGTTATTCACCATGAATGCTGGAAACTGAACCCAGATCCTCTTGCAAGAGCAGCCAGTGCTCTGAACAGCTGAGCCATCTCTCCAGTCCTTGACTTCATTTCATACACATGATCACACAAATTTGAAGAATGGGAAAGGAGGCAATAGAGTTTTAGAGTCTGGAGAGCAGATGGGAGAATGTTTAGCAAAGTGAGAAGACAGATGGCCAAATCACGGAGGAAGGGAAAGCCTGACTTGCACCACAGAAATCCAGAGGCTCAGGATCTCCAACACTCTAAAAAATAAATGAAAAGACTAGTTGAAAGCTCCTGAAGAGCAAATGAATCCCTTCCTCAGCCCCTGTGGAAGAAAACTCTGCCTCACTCTGAGAGAAAAATGGAGATTTAGAATTCTATGGATAATGGGCCTTAACTGCCCAACACCAGGCATTACTGAAAGTGGCTATTATATTCTATTTGGCCCTGTTTTCTCCCTTGGCTTCCAGGCCTTTCCCATAGAAAGAGGACTAGTGAAGCCATGGGGGACCTGATCAACTTCAAGGGGAAGAATCAAGACATTGACAACAGGACCACAACTGAAATTCACAGTTCAGAGCTGCTGAGTACCGAACACGTCCACAAAGCTTCCAATGTAGCTCCTTAGTCATTTACGTCTGCTTATGAATCATCTCATGTGTTAAGTACACACTCTACCACTAAGCTGCAATCCTACCTCCTAAGCTTCCCCCACTTAAAACAAATACTTTATTTTATGTGCATCAGTATATTGCCTATGTATATAAATGCACCCCTGTCGTACAGTCTTCACAGAGGTCAGAAGAGGGCATTACATCTCCTGGAACTGAACTTAAAGAGGTTGTTAGCTACCATGTGGGTGCTGGGAATTGAACCCAGGTCCTCTGCAAGAGCAACCAGTGCTCTTAACCTCTGAGCCATCTCTCCAGCCCCCACCTCCGCTTTTTTATTTTTTTAAATTACTTTTATTTTGTGTATGAGTGTTTTGCCTGCATGTGTAAGTATACCCGTGTTGTGCAATGTTCACAGAGGCCAGACGAGGGTGCCAGATCTCCTGGAACTGGAGTTACAGGACAGCTGTTAGCCTATATGTGGTTGCTGGGAACTGAACCCAGGTCTCTCTGTAAGAGCAACCAGTGCTCTTTACAGCTGAGGCACCTCTCTAGCCCACCCCCTCTACTTTTTTTTGGAGGGGGGAGGGATCTTTTTGAGACAGGGTCTCCCTGTAGCCCCAGCTGGCCTGGAACTCACTATATAGACCAGGCTAGCCTCGAACTCACTATATACACCAGGCTAGCCTCGAACTCACAGAGATCCACCTGCCTCTGCCTCTCAAGTGCTGGGATTAAAGGCATGCAACACCATGCCTGGCCCTACCTCCACTTTTAAAATGACAACCACAGATCAAGAATTTGGAAAAAAACTTCTAATCTGAAAGGAGAACAAAACAAATGGAAACAGGGATGGAAAGGTATATGGAAGAAAAAATAAATGTGAGAGAAAAAGAAACTTGACACCCCCCGCACCAACACCAAAAACCAAAAAACCTATTTATCAAAGATACAATATTGCCTTATGAAACATAGGCTACTATTAAGATACCCAAGTACTTCCCAGGGAACAAACGTTACTCCTGGAAAGATGACAGTAGAAATAAAAAATTCAACACGTAGCTTGGAATATGTTGGATAATCTCCTAGAAAGCAAAACAAAAAAGATGAAAAAACACCAAATAAAAGGTGAGAAAAAAATGAAGAAAAAACAAAACAAAAAAGTCCCAGAGGTGTAACATCTTAGGATCCTAGGAAGAAATGAAAAAATCCACCCACCATCTAATTCAAATACAGTCCCCAAAGTGAAGATGTGTTTCCACTATAAAAGGCCAATGACTATAGAGAATAAAAATTACTCCAACTTACTAATGGTCATGCTATTTAGAGGCATAAGAAATCAATTCAGTCTTCTTCAAATTTTTAAAGGCTACTAGAAGGATAAGTTGACTGTGGAACAACAACAAAAAACAAATTCAAAAGAAAGTCTCCTTACCAAGAACTCTTTACCCAGCTCATCTTTCTTTCTCAAGATGACAGTAGCTATGTGTTCTAGTCTATCAAGAACACAAATTCCATAAGAAAAAGTCATTAGAAAGAATAGAAAGAATTCCCAAGATGACTCCATATAGTCAACTCAGGGGACAACCAGGCCAGAAAGAACACGGTAGCTGGAAACAGAAGATATGTTGAGGGTTGTCATTAAGGTATCTGCCAGGCTGAGTATTCATTCGGATGGGCTCAGATTTCTCTCCATGCTTGTTATGCTGAGCCTGTATTAATGAAGCCTTGCCTCATCTAGTACATTCACTTATCTCTAAGTATATCTGGCTTTAGAGTACTCATGAGAGGTGGAGGGGAAGCCCTGTGCTCTCAGAAGAAAACAGGGCAGCCTACTCTTTCTGACTATATTCCTGCTGGAGCTCCAGTATCTGACTTGCATTTTAACTCAGCCAGACAACTTCCACCCCCATCCCAGCTGTGATAAGCCCTGTATTTCCCAAGACTCACTCTTGCTAAGCAACTTCCCTTGGAGATTTTAAACTCTTGGGGAAACCGAAGCTAGACAAAGCAGAGCTTCTGCCAGGTTTATTTTCCTCTGGGAGCCTTCATCTTAAAGAAGAAATACCACATTTTTAACAGTAGCAGGTTTCTCTTTCTTATTTGGTTTTTATATTAAACATCATTTTCACTCATATCCAGGCAAAGAATTGTTCATAAAGGAAAAACAGAGGAGAGAAAAAGTAAGAACAAGAATAGATACCCTTAAGGACAGGATATTTAAGACAAAGACAAAATGAAAGGGTATTTAAAATATACAGAAAAAAAAAAACAAAAACAAAACCCTGCTATCATCCTTAAAATTTATTTGCACATCAATTTATTTGCTTATTTTACTTTTTAGTGTAAACATATATAAACTTAGGCTTTCAATTTATCTATACCTCCAGGTCCTAAAATAAGTATCTATGGTATTTAAAAAGACAGTTGTCATAATCAAAGTTTTATTGCCTTGAGAGGGCCATTTATATGTTAGTAAAAAAAGTAATTACTTCTGAATCATGTCATGATATGTACTATATTAATGTTTAATGATGCATTTTACTAATATGTTACTGAATACTATCATTTCTAAACAAGCTAAGAGTGACTAGGAATACTGATAGTCTAAGAAAATTTCTACTTATTCTATGTATATCCTTGTTATTAAAAACTAAAGTCTCTTGGAAACATATTGCTCTTGGAAGAGACACAGCTTGGAATCTCTCCATGTATTTTATACCTGGGCTAATGTGGCAATCTGTGGCTGGGCTTGAACTGTCATTTGTTGATTTTCAGCTTCTGTTACAGCAGCATCTCCACTCTGCTGGTTCTCTGCTCCAGATTCCATGGTCATTTAGTTACCTACAATAATATGGAAGAGCGTTACAAGCACTACAGTGCTTTGTACTTTCGTGACTTTAAAGGCAAATTTCAAGTTATAAATAGTTATGTGTGGTGGTTAGGTCAGTAAATGCACTTAGAAATCTAGTTAGAACAGAATGCAGCTGGCGTTCTACCCCCCTAGTCCAATCTGCTGAGCTATAAATCCTAGTACCTTCAAAAAACAATATAACAAGATTTCCATCCAAACTCTTCCTTTGGATGGAAATAAGTCTGTGAGACACTACCCTTCCATCACCCCCTTATACTTCCTCCCATAAGGGGGAAGAAGCAGAGAAATTAATAGCTACTTCCAACAGACTATGGAGGTAAAATAGAATATTCTTCCAGTAGAACATGGAGGTAAAAAAATAAAATAAACAATCAGAGCCTAATTAGAGGTTCCAAATATGGAGACAATCATGGGGTTCCAGCTCCTTACCCACATGTAGAGTGCAACATAACACTACACACATGCATATACAAAGAGAAACAAAATACCTTTCTATGTGTTTAATTATAAAACCCTGAGTAAGCTAGTAAAGACTTTCGAGACCCTGTTCTAAGAGTTTTGCATATTTGTGGAGTGATCTGGCATCCTATGCAGCAACAATCAGTGGGGAGCAGGTACTAGAAACAGCAGTTCTATGGAGATTAGGCAATTTTCAGACAACTGGGGAGGCAATCCTCTCTAAAAGACTATTTTAAAAAGAGAATGTTTCTAGTGTCCCACTTGTCATTCAGTGCCTACATACTACCGACAAAAGTGAATCTTCCCTGAGGGACTATCTATAGTCACCCCACACATAAAAGAAAAATCTCCATATAACTCTAAAATTGATAACCAAAACTGACACTCATCCTTATGTGAACATTGTATACTGTCACAATGCATTAAATATTTAACATCTCACTATTTATAACAGTTAAAATAATGTGAAAATAGCTCTGTGGAAATTAATATTAAAAATTTAGAAATACTAGAATGTATAAAAACATGAAAAAGTAAAAGATCAACAGACTTGACAACATCATTATTTAAAATAGTCATAAAGCGCTCAAGACATTTGGAGAAATAACTGCCACAAAAAGCACAATAATATCCGAAGTACAAAACAACTACTAATCAATATGAAACTTTCAATTTTCAGTTCACAAAGATACAGTTCAAGGGTATTCATTGTAGAATTCGTTTTATAATACCATAAAACTAAAAACATCACCATCAGGAGGACCAATAGAGGAGTTATTATAGTTACAAAAATTGTTATGAAATCCCGTTTATGTTTTAAACAGCTAGTAAAACACTGGACGCAGAGGGGTGTCCACGGAACAGGTGTGAGGAGTTAGACACTAAGCTGAAATGGCAGCTCTGAACTGGCACAGGACGGAGTGCACTTACAGGATGATGGCTCCACTCCATACTCTCTTCATGTATTTCAATTTCAGTACTGGTTGGGGATTTTTCCTTCCAGGGATCATAGACTCAAGATCATTTGTATAATTTAAGGGGAAAAAAGCACTTTAATATCAGAAGTCATATATAACATTTTTGAGCAGATAATCAAAACTATACTTCTGTTGTGGATTATGACCTACCAATGACATTTCCTCAAATCCCAGATAATTACCATTTTTGCTTAAATTTTATCTGAACTGTTTAGCCTATATTTCCAAACAGGAAAAGCTTAAATTTTTTTAAAAATTATTTTTATTTTATGTGTATGTGTGTATTGCTTGCATGTATGTAAGTGCACCTGTGCTGTGCAATGCCCGTGGAGGACCAAAGAAGCCAATGGATGCCCTGGAACTGAATTTAGAGATAGTTGTTAGCTGCCATGCAGGTGCTGGGATTTGAACCCAGGTCTTCTGCAAGAACAGCCAGTGCTCTTCACTGCTGAGCTATCTCTCCAGCCCCAAGGAAAATCTTATAAAAAACTCAAATAACTTGGTTATTATCACTTGTGAAAACTTACTAAACTATCATACCAAGTATACTTACAATCTGTACTCTTTACAAGGTTAAAAAAGGGGCAGAGCTTGGGAAAGAGTATGAATATGAAATTCTCAAAGAATAAAAAAGGGGTGAAGAAACTTAAGAAAAACATAAAATCTAAAAGAAACCAACTGAAACAGGTTGGTTATACTAAAACAGCTATACTCTTGATCTGGAAGAAAATGGCACACAGGGCAAAATATCTAATGTGAATAATGATTACTGACTAAGGGGGCAAGTAAAACCCACAGCTTTTTTCTATTTTTCTCCCCTATCACTTTAACCAGAATGAAAATAATTTTACCACTGTAATACCTCTTTTGTAGATAAAATATATACAACCATTTAAGACTTTATTCTAAGCCACACATTTTTTTAAGCTCCGGTGCCATCCACATGCAATTTCACTCTACCGGTAGATCAAAGGCAGTATAAGGTAGATCAATCGTATGTCTTGTTTCTATTTACAACACACTGAAACTACTTATTTTTTTGTAAAATTTAAGATAGAGGGTATCCTTATGAGTTTTTGGTTCAGAAAATAAGATTACTACACTAAGAAGAAAAAAGGAATAACACACTCAGAACATGAATGTGATGTTTTCTTTCTTCTCTAACTGGATAGTATTCTTTTTTAGAAGTTGTGGTATTTCTCATGGCTAGAAGCCCCCATTTAATCTGCTGGTATATTCTTACCACTTCATTCTGGTGGCTACCAACCCTTTTTTCAGGGTAGAGAACGACTTTAAATTTTTGTGTAACTTTTAGCTTGAGTAGATGTCAACAAAATGGGCAACATTACAAACAGTGTCTTTTATCAGAAAACTTAGTGCTGGTGAGAGTTACTTAAGGAAAAAGGGCTGGTTCAGATGACAAGGTTCTTGGACTCAACGGCTACAGACTTTCTTCTGCTTTTCATCTTGAAGGCATTAAAATAGCAATCTCTTAATTGGGACTAAACTTGCAATTAAAGCAGGAACATTAATACTGTACTTTAAAAACTTTTGCTCTTGTAGCTTGTCCTTGGGTATGATAAGAACAGACTGTGTACAATCATGTTTGAAGTTTTCAGTTTTCTGTTACACACACACACACACACACACACACACACATACACAGAGTGGCATGTCTTCTCCCACCATCATGCACACACAGTAATAATAATTTTTAGAAATTATTGCTCTTGGCTAGAGAGATGTCTCAGCAGTTAAGAACACAGGCTGCTCTTGTAGAGGACCCAGGTTCAATTCCCAGCACCCACATGGCAGCTAACTATTCTAACTCCAGTTCTAGGGGACCTGACGCCCTCTTCTGACCTGCTCTGGCACTGTATGACACAGGTGCACTTAACATACATGTAAGCAATACACTCATACACATAAAATAAGTTTCTAAAATTAAACATGCCTTTAATCCCAGCACTCCAGAAGAAGAGGCAGGCAGATCTCTGTGAGTTCAAGGCCAGCCTGGTCTACATAGTGAGTTCCAGGCCAGCTGGGGCTACAGGGAGACCCTGTTTGAAAAAGACCAAAAATAAATAAATAAATAAAATTTAAAAATTATTACTCTTAAACTACTGGACTTAGAATTTTAAAAGTGTGATTTTACCACACTTCTACTAATACTTTATTAACAATATAGTCTTAAAATTTTAGCAATTGATATTAACATTTTTCAAGCTACTGCAGATAAAGCAATGAACAAAATTAAATTTTAGAAAACTTTTCCTTCATAGAGCTCCTATTGTACTGTGCAAGAGTAGAAAGTAAGCAAATAAAATGTTCACTTTGTCAGATGGTGGGAAGTGTGTTCAAAAGTAAAGCTAGAAACCAAGGTGACGGGATTTTTCCTGTATTATAAAGGCTGACCACTGAACCTGTACTAACAAGGCAACATTTAAATTCACCTACCAAACACCTATACAGATGTGCACCAATTGGAAAAATTCTGGCAGCACTACTTCCCAATCTGCCTACACGAGGTTAACACAAATTTTCATCAAACTGTAAATTAAAGCTCATCAGAGAAAGCCAGTATTTCTACTTTTACTAACAATCACTAAATGAAGGAAAGCTATGTACCTTCACTTTGTACTTTTTCCTAAAGTATTCTGGCCTTGAACTCACTGAGATCTGCCTGCCTCTGTCTCCCAAATGCTGGGACTAAAGGCATGCACCACCACACCCAGTGAAAAAGAAATCCATCCTTGGGGAGCTGGTTAGATGGCTCTCAACCTGAGGTCAGTTTCCAGCACCCATGTTGAGCAGCTCACAACTGCCTGTTACTCCAGCTGCAGAGGACCAATGCCCTCTCTGGTTTCCACAGCACCTGCACCCACATGCAGATACCCTCATATAGACACACATACATATAATTAAAACATAAATCTAAATATAAATATTAAAACAAATCATAAAGAAAAAATAAAGAAATCCATCGTCCTCATAACTGGGCTAAATTTTTAATCCCCTAAATCCACAAATCTAATTCTGTTTAAGATGAGAGTAAATATTCAAAGAATGAACTGTACATTTTAACTGAGGAACACTGTATTCCCAAGTAACAGAACATATGCTCTTTGTTAAAACAGAGATGGTCTCCATCAGAAACAATGCTCACAACTTCTCATGAGCACTCACCAATCCACAATCTCAGAGATGTAATGAGGTCACAGAAGCAGAACTCCCAAGTTTTCAGGGTAACTTTAGCAAAAGGCATTTATGAGCATCATTTAAAACATAGACTACGTCTGGAGAGATGGCTTGTCAGTTAAGAGCACATACTGTTCTTTTAGAGGACTTGGATTAAGTTCCTAACACTCATGTTGGGAAGCTCACAATCACTTGTAACTCCAGTTCCAGAGGAATCTGACACCTCTTGCTTCAGTGAGTACCTGCACTTATGTGTACATACTGACTGATACACAGTCAGTCACACACCCACAAAATTAAAAATAAAATACATCTTTAAAAAAAACTCCAGACTA